ACACATAAGCGTTTATAAATGCCTCTTTTAAATTTTATTTCCCCCTGTTTTTCCCCCTACTGACCACAGCAGGGGAATCTTAGTTTTGAATCAGCCATGAATCCAGCTCACCTGATTCATCAGTGAGCCCCACCGTCACTGGCGTCTGACAGGGTGGCGCTGCATGCTCTTCCTTTAATGTCACCATTTTCAATCTGTTAATTAGAGTGCTTAAACATGAAGTAGACTACGTCCACAACAAGTCAATACAGCTGTAAATGTGGCCAATTATCAATCTATTACCAATCAATAACAACAGATAGCTTTTATTTTATGAATGCTTTTAGTCAACCACCCACCCAGAGGATCTCCAATCCCAGGAAATTCCTTCTCCTCATTCAATGAGTCTGTCCTCCTTCCATGCCCTGGTAACTGGTCCATCCAGAGCCATATGATCTCAAAATATACATACAACAAGCCAAACCACACCTTGGTCACACCAACCCTTTTCCGCCCTGAAGATGTTCAACGCCATGTTAGTCTGGACTGTCAAAGGTGACTTTAACGCTGACTGTTCCGACAATCCATTTAGGCTGCTTTTAACTATGTAAAGCACTTTGTGCTACATTTTTTCTGTATGAAAAGTGCTTTATAAATAAAGATTGATTGATTGATTGATTGATAACATTTCCTGGTCAGATTTGCCAATCTCTGCACTAGGGTTTTAATCGTTTTGCCATTTTCATTAGTTTTCATTTTTATTTAGTTTCGACTCCAGATTTTCAATTTTATATCAGTTGTAATTAGTGTTTACCAATTATTTGCTAGTTTAGTCTAGTTTTTATTTTCTGAAAATCCTTAGTTTCAGTTTAGTTTTGATTAGTGCCAGTTATAGTTTTAGTTGTGTTTTGCAAAAATGAAGTGTAACCAAATCTCAGTTCCATCATATCAGTCATGCTCTTCTGCTTATCCGTGGGTATTGAGACTATTAACTCTTGCAGCACCGGGTGCTCCTAATTTTGGTTCCAGTTAATTGATAAACTTTTTGAAGGCCATTGACTCACACAGTTATGTAGATGTCCCAGTCCTGTTGTCTCGGGATGCATCACGCTGCCTTATCTGGGGTTAGCTGTTTTCTGGGGATGCGGTTTGAGTGGGGGAGCTCGTCGAGGAGGGGGAGTGTGCTCCCCCTGATGAGCTCCTCAAGGTAAGTGTCGCGGTTCGAATTTTGAGGAAGAGACATACGACTGAAAGTCCATAGTGGGTCAACACAAATTATTTTATTAAAACACACAGTACCATGTGGGAAGCCGATCTTCGCCTCCCTGCTCGTTGCAGAAAGCTTTATAGCCATTATGACGTCAGAACAATTCCCCGACCTCCTCTATGTTCAGAATAACAAAACTTTCCCAGAATTAAACCCAGATGTTTCCACTCATGTTTCCTGGGAACCTAACCAATTGTGTAAACGAGTGTGTTGTTTTGTGAAATTGTGGGTTCAGGCCAAAGAGAGTTGACTGTCCTTAACTGACCTAGTCCGCCTGGACCTGCAGCTCCTCTGGTGGCTGGTAGAATATTGTATTATAGCAGATTTACTAAACAATGATACCAAATAATATTAATGCTAAACTGATACAGACTAATGAAGTAATGATGAAATAATGACAGTGCTTTATGAATGATACACAGTGACAGTAAAATAACATGTTTTTCTTGACAACTCCTCCTCTTTGGCTCGCTTGCGAGTCCAACCTCCACCAGGATTTGTCTCACTCCTCCGTCCGCCCTGCAACCTCCCTCAAGGGCATCATCATGATAAGAGTATAAGGTTATGAGTATAAAAGTAAAAAACGTACAAAACTATTACCCTTCCTTTACACTATCAATTACTTTAGACTAGAGCTTAGCCTATTAGGAGCCTGGAATGAATTGATGCTTAGCGCGTGATGCTCCTCTTCTTTCTTCGTCTCCCCAGGTAGACTGCTGGGGAGAACCGCTGCACAGGGGGAGAGGATTATTCTGCCTCTATGTTCCCCCCGTGTTACTTTGGGTGGAGCTTATCTCTCGTCCGCGACTGCACATTGAGACCAATGGACCTAGGTCTCGCAAACAAATCTGCTAAATCAAACATCTTATTTACACCCAACTATAGATCATGAAAGCGATAAAGTATTCAGCACAACAGACAAGTATCATGTTCAGGATTTCCCAAATCATTAAATCACTATTATTGCCGCAATTTATTTTATCCCCAATTTAATCAGTGACTTCCCTTAAGCAATGTCACTCCACTTGTTTTATCCCTATAAGCGCTATATTAAACTGTTCCATAGGAACTGCATCTCTTATTTGTTTTCTCATGTCCCTTGTCTGTTTTCTACTGAATCCTCCACATGCACTCTTAACAAAAGCAAAACAAACATTAGCAAACCACATTTGACCATCTCGGGTTAGGCGTCAGCCCTCCACCTTGCAGAGGTCCTGTAAAAACATTTCCTGTAAAAAGAATCACACTGTTTTCAAGACAGGATGTGTCTCCCACAGTTTAATCGCATCACCAACTCATAACCTATAAACCCAGTTTCTTCACACATAAGCCCAGAAATCCTGTAGTAGGAAAACATTATTAGCAAACATCAACTACTTGTCCAGTTATAAGTCACATATTCAAAGCACATCCAGCCCTGTCATGCTGTAGAGAAGCAAATGCAAATGTTAACGCTGCGCAGGTGTGTACACACTTTCACAAACACAGAAAGTAGCATTTAAAAGTTAAATCGTCATGCAACCTCAGATGTCGCTGTCATCTTTCTGCTCCTGTAGAAAGAAACACACATAAATTCATCCACCCTTTTGTCCTATCTAGGTGGAGGTTAACCTTGAGTCGTGGTCAAGTCTTGTCAGCTTTTACCAGTCAGTCCGTTTGTTTTATTTCCAGTCTTTCATCCATTCCTTCTTTGCTGATAGTGGAAACCATCGCCGCATTTAGATTTCCGCCCTCAGCAAAATTACGTCATTTCAAAAAGAGAAACAAGAACTTTAGATCGGATTACATCGCTGAATCCTTCTTAGGCAGGGACTCTCATCTTCTAATTGTCGCAATAAGTGGCTTTCTCCAGAGCCCATTTTAATGTGGAGAAACTCACTTGCAACAATTTTCTCGCCGACGTGTAATGCTTGTAATTTCCGATGTGCAGATCTGCTTAAAGAAAAGATTCACAAACAAAAATCAGTGCACTGTTCAAAATATAAATCAAAAATCAAAAATAAAGCTTTAAAACAAAACTAAATAAAAAGAAGCCCTCTTGTGGTCCAGAGATCTTCTGCAAAGGAAACAAAACCCCATTTCCACTTGTCAGGTTTACGGAGACATGGCGCTGTGAACAATTCAACCAGAAACTTGCCTTAACATATCCAATCATGTTGACCTATAACTTTCTCCCGACCGCTGCATGTGGAGAATCGATCCAGGTCTGTTTTGCACCTGAAGAAACACAACTGAGACATTTTATTATTATCATGAGTACTTAAACTACCAGTTTCCCTCTCTCTGGTCAGAAATACCAGCTTATGTCATGTGTATAAGTGTAAGCAGGTCTTCATTGCTTTTCCTATGTATTTTGTTAATGTTCAGTGAGTGTATAGTAAATGGACTGGTTCTTATATAGCGCTTTTCTACTCTTCTGAGTACTCAAAGCGCTTTACACAACTTGTGCATTCACCCATTCACACAAGCACATTTTTCCTTAGTGCTTTCTAACTGACATTCACACACATTCATACTCCGATGAATGCATCGGAGAGCAATTTCGGGTTAGTATCTTGCCCAAGGATATTTGGCATGCAGACTAGGGGAAGCCAGGAATCGAACCACCAACCTTCCGATCAGTAGATGACCTGCTCTACCACCTGAGCTACAGCCACCCTGTAGCTGTGTAAGCTGCTTTCTTCATTGCCTCTGTATGTTATAATCAGGTTTAATTCATGCATCGTTTCACTGATTTCTTAATTCAAAACTATCTCACTTCTGATTCTTTCCAGAAATAATTTCACATGTAATACTTTGTGTATGTGTGTTTTCCATTCATTCATGTAATTGTCAGTTACTTTCTTTGTTCATTTTACCTTCTTTTTGTTTACCTCTTTAGTTTTCTGGTGGACATCTCTAAACACCATCATGAGTTCAGGCTTTTCATTTCAATCCAATTATACCCTGTATTCTGCACCACATCTCTGTGTGTTCATCATTTCTTTGAACCCAGCTCACCTCCTGCAACCACTTTTCTGAGAATACGCACTTCTTTTGCTGTTCGTACTCCTGCTGACATTTCTTTGGAAGTGAAGGAACACCAAAGTAATTTCTTCGGTGGCTATAGCTCAGCAGATAGAGCAGGTCACCTACTGATCGGAAGGTTGGAGGTTTGATTCCAGGCTCCCCCAGTCTGCATGTCAAGTATCCTCGGGCAAGATACTAACCCCAAGTTGCTAGTGAATGTAGTTAGAAAGCACTCAGTATAGATGAAGTGCTTGTGAGAATGGGTGTGATTGGGTGAATATGGCATGTTGTATAGAGCGCTACTCCGAGAGAGTAGAAAAGCGCTACATAAGAATCAGTCCATTTAAAGGAGCTTCTTCGACATTTTTAAGAGTTCTAAACAAATGTCTGTCCCCCTCCAGAAAATCTTATGTACGCAAACGCGCGTTGCCACTTCTTATCTGGTCTTTTAGTTTGACAGCACATGTGCACCTGTAGGACCACTTACAGTATGTGCTCTCCTGCATGTATTTAAGGAAAGAACTGTGTTTAATGGAGACTGTCAGTGACAGTCAATGCCCAAAAGGTTTTTGTTCAAGCAGTCCTGGCAGACGGCCTCGCTCTTACTTTCCTCATGTTCTCCTTTTATTTAACTGGAGTTGATAAATGACTTCATCCACCCATCTAATGTATTGAAAACATCAAAGCAAGAAACTTGCTCACCATGTTTTCTTGATACTGCAGTTAATAAATCTTTCGAGCTCAGTAACTTTAACAATTTATTTCATCAGCATTCCAGTACCTGAAAACATTCCAGCATTTATCGTTGATAAATCTTGTATGAGAAGAAAGATTAAAAGTAATTGAGCAATATAGAGTTTAATAAATAATCACATCCGGTGCAGTGCAATAAAGTTTGCTTAAAAGAAACCTCAACATAAACAGACACTTAAGCTGTGTACATGCCGGAAGTGATTCGCTCATCACACATTGCTTTGAAGCTGGTGGTTGGTCTCTTGCTGACGTTCCAGGCCTCAGTTGCCCAGATACCACTACCCTGTGAATCAACAACATTCTTCATTCCCACAGGTAGCACTTCAGGCTTTCACCTGACGCCTGAAAATTAATAAACTTTTATTCTGAATCCCGTCTACTTCACATCACCAGTGGTTATTTTGCCCGCTGTAGTCGTGGAACACCCTTCACTTTCTGGTCAGCGTGTAGCTGTGAATCTCTTCCAGTATGCACACAGCTTCACAGTGGAATCTGAGTTTCAGGATTGCAGCTGTTAACTCAAATTAATGCAAACTTCTTTGTGTTGTGTAAACTCTCAGCACGTTCTTAGTTCTTCCATGTGTAGCTGTAGTTGTTCATGGTGATGTGTGTCAGGGCTGTCTTTCCCAGGGTGGAAGGCTGCTGCAGCTGCTGGATGGAAGCAGGATGGAGACCACAAGAGGACAGTTCTACCGAGGCCTCGCCAACCTGCAAAGTATTCACAGAATAAATACCCCTACACTAATTCACACTTTCTCTCCAACTCCTATTTTAGAATAAATCTGAGGTTGTTAGCTGGCACTAAGTGCTGTGGACAGCACGTTGACACAGGTTAACAGACAAACAGCAAAACCAGCCATGCAAACTAGGTCGTTCAACATCTGCATTATTTAAATTACCAATGCACGTGCCAGAAAGCTGAGCGCCTCAGTGGGTACATTTAGTAAATTATCGTGAATTAAGTGGCTGGCCCGACTGTGTGAAGAAGACAGAAGCTTCACACGTTACATGCAGATAACCCTGGTTATGGTTTAGGCATCATCTGCAGGTTGCTTGCTAAGAAGTAAAGTTGACATTAAAGTTGATTTGATCACATTCAGGCTACAGCACATACATACATGACATTCATGAATCAAACAAAAAGCAGCTTCATGTTTTCTGTATGTTACCTGCTGCTTGGTGCTGTGTACGTTCATAACCGCGGTAGGAGTATGTGTGTAAAGCGCAGCTGAGAAGTTTCCTTTCTGCGCAGGCCGAAGTAACGTTAGGATAGCATGGAGAGACGAGGGGAGGACAGGTCCTGCAGTGTGGCAAGTACAAGTATACTGAACACTAACACACACAGTGGGAGCTGAGAACTGATACGAGACAAAAGTCTGCTTGTCCAGCTGCGTACCTGTGATCTCCAGACTGCTGATGTTCTGGAAGGAAGAACCAACTTGACTTCTCACGTTCACACAACGGCTCTATAAAAGCATAAATCACACAGAGTTTCAAATTCAACTCAGAAGTATAAATGATACGTGAGATGGTTACAGACAGAGCTTCGTGTGTGTGCTCCAAACACCTTCAGAGTGTGCATTGTAGCTCCTCTAAAAGCACTGGGAGCCAACAGTGTGGGCGGTAACCCTGCCTGGGAGCCGGATGAAGCAACCACACCCTTCCAATTGATGAAGAAGTTGATGAGAGTGAAAGTGTGAAGTCCTTTCACACATATCACAGACTCAGGCTTATGGTCCACAGACATGACGTGGCCCTCCTTATGACTAGAGAAGAGGTCAAGGAGTTGTCACAGAAAAACACACAGAGTACACGTAAAACAGACTAACGTGACAGTGCTAATGAGGATACAGCTGTAGGGTGTGGAGGTCTGGCTTCTTGATTTTGTCCTGGACTCCCATCTCCTTCAGCCAAGACAAAGTGCTGTCTTCATCTCTGCAGTCTCCATCATGGTCTCCTCCATCAACTGTATCGCTCAGCTTGGAGCACCTATACATTGAGACCACATTTACACACGATGGCACAAAAACACCACAACAAAAGATTCTTCTTACGTCTGACTAATTACACTTTTAAAATTTCCAGGTTATTAGTGCCTCATTTTTCCTTATGGTATATTTAAAGCATGACGACTGGTTATATCTAGTTCCTTCTACAGGCCTGTATGGCTTAACTTACCATCGTTAAAGTAGACTTTCACATGTGGCGCTCTCTGCTTCTCCTTGCTAACAGTTTTATTTATCATAAAAATAACTAAACTTTTTACTTTTCTTATCTTTTGTAGAGTGCTTGTGTTAAGTCTGTAGGGTGCAGGTTTCTTTTTATTGCCCAAAAAGTTATTCCAGTCATTCCCCGTTTAATTAACATTTGATTTAACCTAATTAACAAGAATAATCCAGGCATCTGAGTCTCTTAAAAAGTATTAGATCAGTTGTATCTGACGCATGAATATCCTAATCTCCACCATGTGTTTGGACTACCGAAGCCTCTGCTGCAATCTAATTAAATCCTTTCTTTATTCCTCTTGATTGGGTTGTGCAAACCATTTACATGAAGGGTAAGTGTAACCCACATCAGATTTGTGGGTTGTGCTGCTGCATAAGGTTGGAGGTGTAATTTTCCCTCCCCGCCGCTAGGAGGCGAGTATGCCTTGAGATGACTTTCTGTTAGTCAACATTTCCTGTTGTGGAAGCCGTTACTCACGAGGCAACCGCTACTCACGAGGCAACCGCCAAATTAGCTGAAAGATCCTGGTAAGAAAAACTGAAATAAAAGTTAAATTCGCAATTTATCTTCACATACTAGCTGTTAACAGATGGCTATTTATTAGGATCTGAGATCTGTGAAATACGGCCGTGGGAAGCTGCGTCAGCTGGACGAGCTATCTCACCACGAGCTCCGGTAAGGGATGCTACATGAATGTTAGCACCATAAAGACATGTAGTTGACTGCTGTTAATATATTTTCTGCTTTAAAAAACAAAACCA